GTCAAAAACACAGAAAATGTCAAAAGTGAAATGCATTTTATGATTTTTAATTATCATTTTGCGTATCTATTCCTATTGGATTGTCCTGTACAGAATGTCCCAGGAAAAGTGTTAGGGCCGAAGAGAGGTGATTCAGTAAGTGTTTCTGAACAACAATTTCCTTTGCCAAAATGCAAAGTGATGCATGGTTTTTAAATTATTAACGAAAAACACTGACCAATAAGAGCGCGCGTTGGTCGCGCTTAGCCAATGGCGAGCATCACGACCCGAGCCAACACTCCCGTGGCTGAGTGTGGACCTACGCGTGCATTCATTGGTCAGTGTTTTTCGTTAATAATTCAAAAACCATGACTCACTTTACATTTTATCAAAGGAAATTGTTATTCAGAAATACCTCCAGAATCACCCATTTTCGGCTGTGACACTTTTTCTGGAACATCCTGTATATTCTTCGATGATAAATCTTATTCCTATTGACCCGGCCTGTATATTCTTCATTAGTAGAGTTTTATTCTGTTTTAGGGCACAAGAGACTTTATGCAATAATCAATCATCTTGCATATTTATTCTTATCGGCTTGTATATTCTACATTATAATATATGAGACAGGCAGTAATTTCAAAGCGGCTATCGATTACTGATAGTCGATACTACTATTAAATATTAACGCGATAAATCCAGATTGTCGGAATCCGCTTATTGTTCATCGACCCACTGAACACCTCGTGGCAAAGAATTTTCCCCAAACTGAATACAGTTCTCCTTTTCGAGGCAGGCATTATCCCTGGCAGGTCGAATCAAAGTGATTGATGTATCTCCTCTCGGCTCCATCTCAGGTGCTATGGATTTTCTGCCTCCCATCTTCGTCAGGGGAAACACTATTTACAAGATCATGATCTTGCTATTAGAGGAATTTCTATACTTTTACTTAAAGTGATAAGATACATCATTTCAAGTCAAGTCTAATACGTTTTACATCAATACTGAATTCTTCTTTTATGATGGCACGAGCCCTTAAATAAAAACAATGAGCAAGCATTGAAATTTTAATAGTTAGTAGGTATTAGATTAATAAAACACAGTATAAAATTTCAGAAACTTTATTATTAAAAAAGTTATGACAACTTGAATTACAAACTCATCGATAAGAGGAGTTCTAACGTATTTCTACAATATTTTTTCAACCATCAGAGCATAGTGAGTGTTTTCAGTTAAATTTTTTATCTTAAATTCAAAAATAATTTTTCATTATTTAGGGTTAAAAGTTTGCAGAATTCACTGGCAAAAATTTGTGATANAAGTACCAGTCCCCACCATGGTCGCGTCGTCCCCACTTTCCGGCCGAGGGAAAAATTATACGATCCCTGGGCTGGGCGTCCGGATTCAAGTCAACGCTTCCGATTCGCAGCTCGCGTCAATCGAGCGCTCTGATTGGTCGGAGTTTTTTGTTAATAACTCATCAACCACGCCACGGACAACTTTTTCACTAAGGAAAATATTGTTTAAAATTACATCAGGAACTTCCCATTTCGATATCTTACACTAGTTTTGGGACACTTTGTATAGTAAAAGTAACTTATTGCAATATTTACTTAATTGTTCTTCGTTTATTACAGACAGACTACAATCGACATCTGGAAGAATTGTTGGAGAGGACCGAGGCACTGCTAATCAAGATCTTGAGAAAGAATTTAGACAATAAGAATCTGGAGAACGTAGCCCATTACCATGGACTGTTGGAGAACGTTCGACATTTGTTTGAAGGTAAAAATTCTTATCGTACAGAATCCAATAGTTCGATTTAACTGTAGGAGGTTTTCCTTGGTACATAAAACGAATTCAATTCTACGACTACTCTTAATTCCTTAAATGTTTCAAAGTTACTACTTTGCTTAATCAAACGTCCGTAGAATAATTAAAGAACAAACTTTTCCCAATTAAATCCAGGTTTATTTTTATTCGAGAAATGAATGTTATTTAATGTCCGGGTTCTTTGGGAGGGAAGCGATAAGGCGAGAATTTATTTTCTCGTTAGGTATTCTCGCGGACCGCGTACGCTGAAACTTTCCACAAGTTTGCTAACTTTTAACCAGCGCCGTCTTGAGCACCGCGAGACACGTTTGCTACATAATGAAATTGCTCCCAGGAATCACTGTTTTCGTTTTAGCCAGATGATGGATTGAAACCACTTAGTATGGAAAACGATACTAATCAGAGATGAAA